TCTAACCTAGTGTTTATCTGCAATGTATATCTTGACTGCTTGATCCATTACTGTTGATAGTTGATCCTAAAAAGGCAGAAGATCTCCACCACTTGGATATTTTCATTATCAGTTCTAAGATTAATAGTTCTACACATAGTCATAATTTTTCTTCATTGTATTTCATTTTAGTCCCATTATTTAATAATGCTCATTGACTTTTAGTTCTTGGGTTTGCAAATCCTTTGCATTTTCAGCTATTGGTAGTATCATCAGCACAGCACAAAGTGTGGATGTTTCTTCCTCTGAATTTAAAACATGCTCATCTTCTTCCAATCCAGCTTCCCATAAAATATATTCAGCATATAGTTTGAATTAAAAGCAGAGAATATGTAGCTCTGTGACACTCCTTTCCCAACCTGGTGTTGGTCTGTTTTTTCATGAGGACAATCAGATGTTCTGAGATTCCCATTTTTCTAGAACTAGGCATGATTGACACAATCAAAGGCCTTTCTATAATCAATGAAACACATAGTGACTTATTTTTTTATACTCTCTGGCTTTCTCAATTATCCAGCATACATTAGCATTAATGTGTTCCTCGGCCTTTTCTAAAGCCAGCTTGAACATCTGGCATCTCTTTTTCCATGTAGGGCTCTAATCTGTGTTGGATGATGCTAAGCATTATTTTGATAGCAATTGAAATGATTGAAATTAAGCATATTGTATAATAGTTTGCATACTCTATTAAGTCTCCTCTTTCTTCTTCTTCTTTGTATTAGAGTGTAGATTGACCTCTTCCAATTGGTTGTCCATTATGTCATTCTCCAGATTTGTTGGCATAGCTTGGAGAATTTGGTGGGAACCATGTGTTTTAAAGTTGGTTCATGAATATGTATGACATATAATTTAAGTGAATGAAATATAAATTAAACTAGCCTGCTTGCATATGCCCTGTCATGGTAGGATAGGATAGGATGGGATGGATGGAATGGAATGGAATGGAATGGAATGGAATGGAATGGAATGGAATAGAAGAATAGAATAGAATAGAATAGAATAGAATAGAATAGAATAGAATAGAATAGAATAGAATAGAATAGAATAGAATAGAATAGAATAGAATAACAGAGTTGGAGGTCTTCTAGTCCAAACCCTTGCTTAGGCAGGAAACGCTACACCACTTCAGACAAATGGTTATCTAATCTCTTCTTAAAAATTTCCAGTGTTGGAGCATTTACAACTTCTGGAGGCAAGTTGTTCCACTTATTAATTGTTCTCCCTGTCAGGAAATTTCTCCTTAGTTCTAAGTTGCTTCTCTCCTTGATTAGTTTCCACCCATTGCTTCTTGTTCTACCCTCAGGTGCTTTGGAGAATAGTTTGACTCCCTCTTCTTTGTGGTAACCTCTGGGATATCTATCTTCCTCCAAGTTTGTGATCTATCACAAACTTGGAGGAAGATCTGCATTCTGGACTTAAGTTTGTAGGCTACACACTCATATGTTCCATTCAGGGGTGGGTTCTAAATTTTTTTACTACCGGTTCTGTGGGCGTGGCTTATTTTGTGGGCATGGCTTGATGGTCATGTGACAATTCTTTAGGATTTAGCAGAGGTACTGGTCTACCAGGCTTTTAACTGCTTGCAGAGCTGTACCGGTCTACCCATTTATTTTTGCAGGCACCGGTTTACTCATGTATTTTTGCAGGCACTGGTCCACCCATTTATTTTTGCAGGCACCAATCTACTCATTTGTTTTTGGAGGCACTGGTCTACCATCAAACTGCCTTTTACCACTGATCAGCTGTAGGGCGGCCCTTTGAAGTCCCATGGCAAGAGTTTAAACAGTTTTTCCTTATAGCCCATCAGCTGGGACTCAGGAGGCAGCAATAGATTGGGGGTGGGTCTAAATAAAAGGTAAGAATAATGCAGGGGTGGGGTGGGGGGCGGGGGGGAGCGGGGGGCCAGAACCGGTTTGGTGACGTCATATCGTCACCGCTACCGGCTTGGTGGAACCGGGCAGAACCGGGAGGAACCCACCACTGGTTCCATTAAGAAAATGCATGGTGTTTGGCCTGGATCATAAATAGGACACTCTGAGCTCTCTGGCAAATCTTTCAGATAAATTAAACATTTTCTGTATCTCTTGGCTGCCATCTAGTGGTCACCTGTATTTTTGCAGCACTATTATAGTATGCTTATTGTCTCTCCCTCAGTCCTCCACAAGCAGAAAGGAGGCCTATATTGGCATCCTGCTAGCCATTTGGCGGTCAATAGGCTCTTTAGGATTCGAAGAGGAGTAAATTGAAGCCAGTGTGAAATGTCATAGAGGAATGTATTGAATTAATATTAAGAAAGTTAGCAGTTATTACAATCATGGCCCCTTCCATATGCCAGGAACCCCAAGAATGGCAGCAGATAACCACATAATGCTGGCAGTTATGCAACCCTCTCCCAGGACTTTAACTTCTGTCTGGGCATTTTTGCCACTTTTTGCCACTTTGCTTAAGAGACAGGGAGTATAAACAATAACTGGGGACGGCTTACTAGCACCTAAGAAGGACACATAACTAGGACAGAATATCAGCAGATAGTCAGAATCTGCAAAGACGAAGTCAGGAAAGCAAAGGCTCAGAATGAACAAAGACTTGCAACAAAAGTCAAAGATAATTTTTTAAAAAGTTTCTTCCAACATATAAATAACAAGAAAAAAATCAAGGAAATAGTTGGTCCACTAAAGAGAGAAGACGGTAAGGAAGTAACAGACAACAGAGAGAAAGCTGAGCTACTTAACTCATTCTTTGCATCGGTCTTCACACAAAAAGAAACTATAGCCCAACCTACCAAAAATATAATTGTAAAAGACAGACTAGAAATATGTTAAAATAAGCAAAAAAAAAAAAAAAAGTAAGAGAACACCTGTCTGATCTTGATGAATACAAATCATTGGGACCTGATGGATTACATCCCAGAGTTCTAAAGGAGCTGGCAGATGTCATCTCAGAACCACTGTACCACATCTTCCAAAAATCCTGGAGCACCGGGGAACTACCAGAGGACTGGAAAAGAGCTGATGTGGTTCCCATCTTCAGAAAAGTAGAAAAAACCAGATCCAGTAAACTACACACTGATCAGCCTAACATTAATACCCAGGAGGATACTGAAAAAGATAATTAAAAAACAGATCTACCAACATCTAGAAACAAGTAAAGTAATAACTAGAAGTCAGCATGGGTTTGTTAAAAGCAGATCATGCCAAACCAATTTTATTTCATTCTTCAACACAGGGACTAAATTAGTAGACCAGCAAAATACTGTGGACATAATATACTTAGACTTCAGCAAGGCATTCAACAAAGTAGACCACAACATACTTCTTGGTAAGCTAGAAAAATGGGGTAGATAGCATCACCACCAGATGGATTCAGAACTGGCTGACAAACCGAACTCAATGAGTAGTCCTTAATGGTACTACATCTACATGGAGGGAAGTAAGCAGTGGGGTACCATAATACTGTCCTAGGCCCAGTATTCTTCAATGTCTTCATAAATGACTTAGATGAGGGAATAGAAGGGGAACTTACCAAAATTGCAGATGATACCAAACTGGCAGGAATAGCCAACACCCTAGATGATAGGCTCAAGATCCAGGTGGATCTTAATGGACTTGAAGGCCAGACAAGGAATAATGGATGGAAACTGATCAAGGAGAGGTTCAACCTGGAAATAAGGAGAAATTTTCTGACAGTGAGAATAGTCAACCAATGGAACAATTTGCCCTCAGAAGTTGTGGGAGCTTCATCACTGGAAGCTTTCAAGAAAGGATTGGACTGCCATCTGTCAAAAATGGTGTAGAGTCTGCTGGGTGGGAGGTTGGACTAGATGACCTACAAGGTCCCTTCCAACTCTGTTAATCTGTATCTGTATCACCTGCTTATCAGGGACTTGATCATCACTTTAGACTGTGGAATCTCTGCCAGGGATATTTTTAGGGAAGGATTTTTAGCAAATACCACGTGGTGATTGTATGATGACTTACAGAACCTGGTCAATATTTTGAGAAATGACCTTTTGCTTATCTGCTATATAATTTTTTAATTAAGTATTTTGATTACAGTCTAAATCAAATTACTTTATATTTACTCATTTTACTGTCTTTAGTTCATTCAAATATTCTCATAGGCTTTGATTTCTTTTCAATTCTTTATTCCATTGTCCAGATGTCTTCAAGGGTTTAACAAGCCTCTTTTGCAGATCCAATAAGAAAACATTTTCCAGGTCACTCTCTAGATTTGTCATTTGAGTTTCTCCTTTAATTTTTAAAACTTCAACTTCAACTTCAAACTTTCCTTTGTATATCCAGTCAAGTATCGTTTTCCAAATCATTTTCTTGACCTCTATTTGTGCTTTCACTTCTGATACTTTCTTTGTCTTGTCAGACAACATTTGCTTCATATCTGCCATTCCCTCATAGACCTCTTTTGGACAAAATCAATAGGGAGCATCACACCTCATTATTGCTGCTATTGATATTGTAGCTACTAATTTCTGGCTCCATTCCTCAAACATCTCCTTTAATATTTCCAAAGTTATGTTTTGTATCATTTTATAAGTCTCACTTAACCGACACCAAAATTATGTTTATATTTTTTCCCTTCTACTTTGAATCTTTAGTTCCTTCTTATATCCAGTTTCTAAAACCATAAAGTCATTTATCTTTATTATGAACCCAGGCAGACAAAATAATTCTGGTTTCTACAAGTAGTTAGTTATTTTTTATAGTTAATTCCCAAATCTTTTTTAACTGACCTCTTAATTCACTTGTAAATTTCATAATCTTCTTTAGCTTTTTGCTGTTTATTTCAAATTATTTAAGTTTTTAAGCTTGTAATTATTTTTTCTTTTCTTCAGTGTTGAAGATAAACTTCTCCTAGTTGCTTTTGCCCTACATATTGAATGCTACAAGATATTTTTAGAATAAACCATGCTGACTTTTCCGGATGATTTTTATTTTTTCTGCCAGGTACTTATTGCAGCTGTCAGTTGTCCAGGTGAAAAGGTGCATTGGCAAATATGGTTTTAAACAGCATTCTTGTTGCCTTTGTTCTTTATCTGGGTGAGTTTATCACAAGGTATATTTGTGGCACAATGAAACTGTCATTTGATCTCTTATTTTCCTGTCTTCAGCCTAACAATTTTAATTTCTTTTCATAACTTTTGCTGGTGGGAGGGAAGCCCCAATGGGTGATTCTTAGTTCATCAGCATACATACTGAGATGTACTCATGATGGCCAGCATGAATTATCTGTAAAGAAGTTCTAAAGCTAAGGTGGGAGACCTGTGGCCATAAGATACAGTGACATATACATCCTTTAATGTAAAGGACTGTCCTTTATGTTTACTTAATTTAATTATTTATTGGTTTTATTATTACAAAATCATACAAAAGAAAATTATTATTTTCTTTTGAATTTTCCTTTGTAAAGTAAAGTTATAAACACTATTTTATCCTTATGAATCTCTTTCAGGTTTGCTTCTTTTCCAAGTTTATTTTCCCCTCATGAAAGTATCATGAGACCAACATACAACCCTCAATATAAGCATAACTAAAACAATTACTTCAGAGGCAAAAAGAAAAAGAAAGAAGTGATCAGAGAGAGGAATATGAATCTACTCGTTACTGGTTTTGGCCAATGCAGGCTTAGCTTTCTCCTGGAAACATTCTAAATCTTTGTCTAAAAAGAAGCCTGAATATCAACTGGTATTCCCCTGATATTCTGGAACAGAAATAAACTCATATTCAAAGGCAGCCCAATGCAGAATGCAGAAACATAAAACAGTTGCAAAAACCCAAAGAGTTTTTGACCAAACGCAATGGACTCTAGCCATCAGTTAAAACTCACTTTGTTGGGATCCCCTTAAATTAAACTTCCAATTTTCTTGGGATTGCATGGGAGTCTCTGTGGATTTTTTTAGTCCACTAATTGCTGCCTACTATGGAGGGTGGTGCTCATTTCAAGGCCATTGAGCTAGCGTTGTCTGAAGATGTTTCCACAGTCATGTGGCCAGCATCACAGAGCGCTGTTATCTTCCCAACAAAGTGGTACCTATTTATCCACTCGCATGTGCATGTTTTCAAATTGCTACATTGGCAGGAGCTGGGATGAGGATGGGAACTCACCCCATCACATGATGCCCAGGTCTCAAATCTGGGCTGAAGGCTTTCCAGCTGACAAGCCCAATGTCTTAACCACTAAGCCAGGTTCTTAGAGCAGCCACTGACTGATACGGTGTGTGGGCTCATGTCCACTCTGAACCACCTCTGTAACTTCACATCCATAATGCAGCACATTCCTAATTTTTAATCTTTTTCTATGGCCTTGCTGTGAAAAAGTCCATTGAGAAGTAGGGCTACTCTTTTTTGGTGCACTGATATCTATGCTCACAATAAAGATCAGAATTTTTACATTACCAGCAGGTTTGCTACTTCACCACTAAATCCAACTACTCTCCTTTGGTTTAAAAATCTAGACCGTCTTTTATGATAGCTTATAAAAATAATGATGTGCACATTTCTCTTCTTTGTCCGGAGACTGATCAATTTATTCTTCATTTCTCCTTGACCCTTGCTTCAAAACAAATGCCTTGTACAGTGACATTTTTTTTTTTTTTGCGAATTACAGACTTTCTGAAAACTCCAGAGTAAATCAGCAGATACTTAAAATGTAAATAGATACGTTAAAATGTAATGAGTTACATAAAATAAAAGGCCAACATAGTGACTGAGTACAGTGACTCAGATTACACACTTCGGGCTCAGAAACATCCATAATTCAGTGTTGATGAAATCTCATTTGTTTCTCATTGTTGATTTTCTTTATTCTTGCATTATTTTGACTTCCTAGCTATTCTAGGGGCAACTTTTTCCACAAGGGCTGAAACGATAAATGTTGCTGCTGGCAAGTCTGCCTTCCTTTACTGTAAAACTGACAAAACTCCATCCAGCATGATCTGGAATCATAATGGAAAACTTCTGCTACGGAAAATGAAAGGCCAAGTATTTAAAGGTAAAACTGGTCGAATCCTTCCACATATAGCCAATAAAAAGAGAGATAAGTCTTTGTGTTTTAGGTTTAATTTCATCCAGTTCTTTTTTCTTCGAAGCTGGAAAGCCTGAAACATACATATTGAGGGATGAGAAGACTTTTGCTGTAGAACTGACAAAAGCAGAACCAGGACAATATACCTGTGAAGTGGATGGAAAGCGGGTGGCTACTTATGATATTGAAGTGTGGACAGGTGAATGATGCAACAGAGATCATGAAATCAGCCTCTTTGTCTCTCTCTCTTCTTCCCCCTGCTATTGAATGAGTAATTAAACAAATAAATTATCCTTGAGTAGAGGCATGGGAAGGAATATTTTACCAGCAGGCCTTCTTTCTTTCTTTCACAGTTACTGGATCTAAAAGTGGATACCTCCTGCAAGGTGACACTTTAAAGCTGAGTCTGTCTCCTGTCACAGATACCAGGATTGAATGGTTTGACCCCCACAAGACCAAAGTAACAGCGAACCAGCCACGATGGAAACTGCAAAAGGATAGCTTACAGATATTAAACCTTACAGTTCAGGAGGATAATGGGATATGGACATGTCACATCTCTCATTATAAGCTCAACGTCTCCTACACCGTCAAGGTATTAGGTAAGAGAAGTCACTAAATTTGGTTCAAAGAGCCTGAAACTTGGGTCCTCTCAAAGTCATTCCCCATAAAAAGTTCAGCATCAACCATAATTTGCTCTGCTAACTGCTTCCAATATCACTGCATTGTGCCAAAATAAGATTACTTTATCACTGACTCTTTTTCTGGAATATAAATTCACATTTATATTACAGATAGGGTAGAATGCTATTGTTCTCTGTTCACTACAGCCTATAGCATTGTCTATAGCAATTGTCTATAGCAATTTTATCAGATATTTTTTTTTGTCAAAATGTTGCAGTAAAAACTTCAGAACCTCTTTTTCCAGTGTGCCCAAGCAAAATTATTGTTACGCTTCTCAGGGGTCCTTATGGTATCCCAAAAACAATGAGGGAGCTTGAACTGGGAGAGTTGATTTTTTTTAACAATTTCCCTGTACTTTATTTTGACGACTTTTCCATCAGTGAGTGTCACATTCACAAAACAAGAAAATCCCTTTCAGCAGTAACCTGAATTAGCCACAGAGTAGGGATTAGCTCGGAGGGAAGCAAATGTTTTCTGCCATCTCAACGTTAGCACTTTAACTCACTATTGAAAGGGGAAAGGGCCATAGTCTTTTTCTACAGTGAAAAAGCAGCAATGTACACAATTCTGATCATATGTTACTTTCTATTTTGGTTGGACATATAACCAGGTTTTTCCAATCCATTGGATGAGTTCCAGTTTGCCACTATCAACAGCAGCAGCAACCTTTCCTGTCCTTTGAACATTGACCTGCAAGAAAAAAAAGATCAGGAGATTCCAAAAGTCCAGTCTTGGAAATGGCTTAAGAATAATGTTCTCATGAAGGAGCATAACATAAGCAACATCAATCGTTCTTTCTCCATTCATCAAATATCCAATGTCCGTTCTGAAGATGCTGGACAGTACCAATGCCATCTTGGATTTAAACATGGAATTTTGAGTAAAACCAACAACCTAATAGTGGTGAAAGGTAGGAATAAGTCTTGATCTGTTTGATGGTAACATGCAATTTCAGCTTACTATATTAATTATAGGTGCTATTGCCTTTGAATACCAACACAGACATTTTTTTAACATTCTCAAAACTCAACCTTCTTGAAATTAATCGTTCCCATTAGCTGGTGTGGAATGAAGTAGGTCACATTAGACAGGGGTTTCAGAAGAATTGGTTCAGTCAAGTTGCCTGAGTAAGAGGATGTAGGCATGGATGGATGTGTTCTGGATGTGAGTTCTGTCAGTCAGACTATTTCAGAAGCACTGTGACCCAAAATAGCCAGTCTGACAGATTACAGTATAGGTACAGAGGAAGGATGTGAGGTGAAGTAGGGGAGAGTTCTCCTGATGTACCTAAGGTACTCTCATAAACCCAGGGACTGACAGAACCAACAACCCACAGCTGGTAAAATCTGGCTCTTTCCAGGTTTAAATTAACCTTTTATGCAGACAGGTCTAGCATTCACTCCAGAAACCATAGATCCTGTTTTTAAACACAGGTGTAGGAAGTGCTAAATTGGTGCATATAAGGAGTTATAAATGGAACATTTTCCTTTCTTATTCATTTGCACTTTCAGGCTAAAGAATTATAGACCTTAATTGGTCAGCAGCTCATGCTAGATGCCTCAAGACCCCTCTCTCCTGAGGCTATGTAGCTCTGCATTACAATGGTTAATATCCACTACTGATCGCTAGGAATCACTTAGGTGAGATGGATGGTTTATAAATTTGATAGATGAATGAATGAATGAATGAATGAATGAATGAATGAATGGTTTTATTCTTTTTGAAACTTATCAGACATAGGTAAAGCACATAGGCTTTATGTTTTCAATCCTTTACCCAGTTTGAACTTGTACTTACAAGGCCTGCATCAGACAAGTGTCTCATTTACTCTGACTCCTGCCACTGTGACAATGGAGGACAGTTCCCATGACCAGAGGACAGAAAGCATGCATGTCTAAACTGACCAGCAGGAGTTAAGCAGTTTTCAGTTCAAGGAGTTGGTGATGGTGTGAGGGAGGATGAAGACACAGGGATGTAAGGATAGTCCCTATAGCAGAAAAACTCCACTGAAGAACTTAAAGACAAGGCAGCTCATTACAGCTGTCCCAAACAGCTTAGGGTTTTAGAGATAAAAAGCAGAGAAATACAATGCTTTTGATAAAATGATATCCCATTCCCCCATCCCAAAGCAGACCTTTTAGTTTAACAAAGGAAATGTGGCATACTCATAGTTTAATGAAGATATTATTGTTGATGGGAAAACATTTTCGTTTCCATTTACATAACTTCATAAAATAAAGTTTTCTTTTATGTGGTACATTTACTGTGGGAGCTTTCAGGGAGCTTATTTTGACATATGATGCTTTACAATACAAGAGATTGCCCTATATTGAACTGACAGATCTTTTCTTAGTAACGTGGAAAGTGGTTATCTACTTTAGTAAGTCATGCAACATAGTGAGCTATTATACCATTTAGTAAATTCAAACCAACTTTGACAAGTAAGGTGTTAGTGTGAAGTTTAAAAAAATCTATTTCCCATTCTGTCTTATAGATACAGTTAATCCTTGATTTATTACCATAATTGCATCCAAAATTATGGTCATAAGTCATTGCAGTCGAATGTTGAGGCATCATGTAACTGGACCCAATTTTTTTGACATATTTGCAGTGGTTGTTAAGTGAACACCATGATGTAAATGTAGGGGAAATGTATAAATAATGAAATGGCAATATTAAGAATGACAGTTATTGGAGGAGTAAGATGCAAAAAGAAAGATGTACTCAGATGATATATTAATTGACTGACTTTATATTGTATGTTTGTTTGAATGTTTATAATAATGCCAATAGATAGAATAAATCTGAAAAGAAATTGAAAGAAAGTATCTACGATTAGAATACAGGAGTTGCTCAGATACTAAAGGAGGAGAATATTTCACAGCAAAGAAGTTAGAAAGGAGAGAGGAGGAGAGGATAGGAAGAGGAGATGGAGGGAGAGGAATGGAAGAAAGGAGAGGAGGAAGGGAAGGGGACAGGAGTAGGAGTGAAGGTGAGAAGGGGGGAAAGAAGAGAGAAGTGGGGGAAAGGGAAAGGAAGTAGGATGAGGTAGGAGAGGAGGAAGGAGAAAGTAGGAGAGAAGAGGAGGGAGGGAAGGGAAAGAAAGGAGGAGAAGAAGAAGGTTTGTTGTGGAATGAGGGAAGAAAGAGAAGAAGAGCAACTCCGAATGTAATTAAAATGTCTTATTTTAATGCTTTCTTTAAGGGAAACATGTATATGTAGGATTTACTATGTATAAGAAAATGTACATTTTCTATTATGTGGGGAGGGGGAAAGGGTGGGGGGGAGAAAATTGTTTGTATTTCTTATAAAACTTTTCAATAAAAAAAAAAGTGAATACCATGATGGCTAAGTAAATGCTGCAGCTGTGAAGCGAATCAGTTTTTCCCAATGGGCATTTTTTGCAGGAACCAATCACAAATCTTGGTCACATGATGCTTCATACAGCTGTAAATGTGAGCTGGTTGCCAAGCACCCAAAATGCAATTGTGTAATCATGTGTGGCCATTGTAACTTTGAAAATAGTCGTAAGTAGCTTTGGGGGTTAACTGTTAACTTCAAATAGTCATTAAGCGACCAGTTGTAAGTGGAGAACTACCTGCATCTGTAATGTTTTGTAGATTGTAATTAACCCAACTCTGCTATCTCTGGCATGAAGGCTAAAGACACATTTTGATGGGACCTTGGTTGCTGTGCTTGCAGTCTGTTCTGGAGCTGGAGAAACATCTAGCTGAAAAATAATCCACAGCTTTATTAAATACTTTGGACTTTGGATGGGGGCAATGAGATTAGAAGAAGAGTTGATTTGATGGTTCAATCAATATAGTTTGCACAGGATTATGGCTGAAACACCTGGAGAATTTGCTAATTACTCTGAGCTACTTATTTTTTGGAAACTGACTTCTGAAAGTTGAATATGTAATTGAACACCTATAGTACATATTTTGGTGCCAATATATGGGAAAACCTGAATCATCTTTGCATACTGCTGATTTAAGATGGGTTTGTATCCTTTGATATCATCAATTCTGTCCTCTTTCCATTGAGAAGGGACCCTTTCCAGCACCATGAATAAATAGCCTGGTACTTTAGATCATATGATAAAATACTCTTCATAGAAAGGAACATTCTTGTAAAATCTGTTTCCCTAATATATTGTTCTTGCTTTCCCTGCAGTCTCTGCTATCCCTCCTGTGCTCAGATCCAATGAAGACAACGTGACGTTGTGTGGTCATATCAGTCCTTCTGCCTCTCCAGTGACTGAATTGTGCTGGGTTTATGTAAATGACTCTATGAGTGAACCCAAATGTGGCTCTCCCATTTCAGAGAATAAATTCTGTCACGTAGCTACAACTGAAGGACCCTGGAGGTGTGATTTCAAAGTGAACAACGATGTGAAAATCAGTATTGACTATATTCTGGGTAAGTTCCAAGGTAAGTAACCCTACCATCTTGTTCCTGGCTCTGTTTCTGTGCACATTCTGTTCTCCTCGACTTCCAATCTTTTTTTTTTCCCACAGGAAAATTCTCAAATGAGACTACTTTAGACAATAGTTTCTCACTGATCAAAACAGCCTCAGGAATTGGTGCAATGCTTCTGCTGTTAATTCTTGTTGGAGTCTGTGTACCTACTTGTAAACGTATGAAGCAGAAGCAGGTGAGTTTCTTCATATCCATAAACCGAAAGGGAGGTTGGGTTCTACAACAACAACAAATGGAAGCAGATCTGAAAGAACATGAAAAGAGAAGGATCTTTCTTTTATTTTTTGGCAGCAACAAGCCAAGAGAATGGCACAAATTAAGCAGCATTTGCTTGCCAAGAGGACATGCCAATGCCAGAGGTAAGAGTCCACTTGCCCAGCCAAGAGGAACACATCATGGATATTCTTTTGAAAGCCCTTGGTTAAGCTGCCCTGGGATGAATCAGTCCATCTGGACCTGCAATCCAGCAGATCCAAGACCCCACAGTTATTATTCTTTACTAGAAAGAAATATCGTATCTAATAGCTTCCTTTTCTCTTGCAGTAACAAACCAGAATCAAAATGCCTTAAAATAATAAACATATTGTACCTTTAGCTTTCAGCTCTGCCAATTAAAATTTGTCATCTGCTTGTTATTCAACTAAAATTATACTTGAATTGGCTACCAATTAAATCAAATAAAGCTTGCAGACCTACAGAAATTCAGAAATAAATCATGTCTAAATTAGACAGCCATGCAATTTCATCAAAGATCTCATGAGCAATCATTCTTCAACAATTCATTTTTATGCTTTTTTAAAACAGCAAGTATCCCACTGTGCAGTTTATATTGCAAAACCAAGTACATTTTTCTACAGGAAAATTTAAAACACTCCCATGTTTTCTACTGAGCCTAAATTTTGGATAACTCTTTTTCAATCCTACAGGGACCTACCTAATGATTACTACCATACCTGAAGGAGATGTTGAAAAATCACTGGCCTGACCATTTACAATCATTAACAATGCACAGTAACATGAATTCAAATACTGCTGGGTTGCCTTAACTTTTTCTCTGATATTCATAGTGCTGTAATCATTTGGGCAAGTCTGTATTTTGAAACTGTGGAGCTTGCAGAAAATATTGACCAAAAAAGGCTTCACCCTAGTAATTGCTTCTAAGTTGTCTAATAGCCGACTGCTCTTTGAACCAATCTGCAGTTCTACTCACTGCAACTATAAATGAACAAAGATGTGTTGTTTGTTTTTAAAATTCCTGACCCAGAAATAAAATACTTATATCTTTCCCCCCAGCTCCACTGGTTAATTCATGTATATGTCTACAGATATTTTTTTGCATTTATTGTGTAGTTTGCAATCTTTTCTGAGAAAATATTCTATCATTTAAAAAAGCAATATTTTAAAATGTATATTAACAGCCATGATATAATTATGATGCTAATAGCGTAATGCATTTCAAAGGACAAATTCATTTTTACTGTTTGGAAAAATGGGTGGGGAGGAAGAGGGGCTTCTGCATTCTGAAAGTTGCTTCTAAGTAGAGAATTTCACTGATGAGATACAAAAATTATTGGAAAACTATCTCCAATCTATCTTGGCTTTCCACTGTTTTGTTTTTTCCCTTTAAGGCAGGGGTCTCCAAACTTGGCAACTTTAAGACTTGTGAAGCTTTAAGACTTAGCATCGCTGGCTAAGGAATTCTAGGAGTTGAAGTCCATAAGTCTTAAAGTTGCCAAGTTTGGAGACCCCTGCCTTAAAGGGAAAAAACCAGCGGTGAAATCCGGCCGGATCTATCTGGCTCGCACAAACTGGTAGGGCCAGCGGCGGGAGGCTCCACCCACCTGTCGTGACATCATTATGTCCCATTTTTGACCCTCTGTGCATGCGCAGAAGGCTCTGCACATGCACAGAAGAGGCGCGCACTCACATTTCCGAACCGGTAGTGAAGGTAAGTGCATTTCACTGCTGGAAAAAAACCCTTTTTTATCTCTTGATATGCATCACCCCCATAGCTCTAAGACGTAAGTACTGAATGTAAACATAGGGAAAAATTCCTGTTGCTTGGTTGTTTATTTTAAAGATCTCCAGTGCTCATGCACAAAAACAAGAAGTAAAAGTGTCTGTATCCATTCCATTGATGCTTGTGAATAATGACATTTGAAATCTCAAGGTCTCTGAAGAGAGACATGTATGTATCTTAATGTTAATAAACATTCCTCAAAAACCTTAGTGTTCTAGTTTTTCTTTAGCATTTGGCTGCACGAGATGCCATTTCTGAGGCCCTCTGCTATTTCAGAGCAGCTAAATCAGGTAGTTGGACTATGATTGCAGGACTTCACCTTGAGATTAGATGAGCCCCAGGAAAATTGCCAGTCATATATAATTATAATCCAAATGCTGTCCCATTGAGGCAAGTATACAAACATACTAATTAAATACTTCAGAAACTAAACTTTCAGTTCTAATACAAGCATCCATCTTGTAGAAGCAGGAGATGTTAGAATTTTGGTGACTAATAACACTGCAGTTGAAAACTCCTAGAACTACTACTATTGTGGCTTAATTCAATTATTCCTAATAACACAACATTCCTGCACTTCTGGATCTCTTTTTAATCCATCCTTTCTTATTCCTATCCCAGTTTGGCTGGGATATTCTGGAAGTTGAAGTCCCACTATCTTAAAGTAGCCAAAGTTGAGAAACATTGCTATACGGAGATCAAAATAAGCACCATACCACTCAGTTCAGTTAGTACAAAAATATAATTACCGGTATGTTTATTTATTAAATATTATGAAATATCACAAGCAGGGAGAGGGAGAGCAATAGGCTAGAGATAAAAAAGGTAGAGGACTTAGTATCAACAGTCTACATGTTTGATATATTTATATTTCAAAACACACAGAACTTTCCAAACTCACTAGAAAAATCACATCTGGATAATTAGCACAAACCATTCCAAAGACAGAGACTCTGGATTATGCCAGTTTTAAACCTCTTTTGTACACAACAACACTGGAATAGAGGTGAAAAGTAGGGTAATAGATAATCCGTCCCTTATTCCACATTAGAAAGGAAATAATTTGGTGGATGGGGATGATGGATCCGTGTTTTCACCCCCAAATCCTTAGGAGTATTTATACCCTGACACACACCCCACAAAGTGCCATCTTCATAACCACCCTCAAAACAGTGAAAATACCATATTATCCTTTCTGTTGATCCATCAGCACAAACATCTGCCTTCATCCTAACCCCAATGCAAGGTCTGTTTAGTTTGGCAGGTCCCTTTGCAAACAATGTCAGCTGAGATATTGTAAATGGACTCTGCAACCATGGCACCATTCCTCCCCCCACCTTTGATATTAAAATAATGATACAATGATAATATGACACCAAAGCAGCTTCACCTCTGTAAGGAGGAGGTGAGAGACCAGGAGCCTGGAAATGTGTGAGACAAGAATGCCTGACAATTTTGGAAAAGGGCCAAGCATGTAACTACTCCTCTAGAGGTTTAAGGTACTTTTTTACAAAAGAAGAACACTATTCTGATAAAGGAATAAAAATAATAAAAATAAAATAAAAGTCTGGCCTTCCCTCCCTTCTTCCCTCCTTCTGTGCGTGAGAGAAGGGGCGGGGGAGAGAGAGAGAGAGGGAGGGAGGGAAGGAGGGAGAGAGGTTATTACATCAATGCAACCCCAACAGCCTTATTATAGTCAAGGCAGAAATGGAACCTGCTTTAGGACTTTCAACAAGATGCAGTCCTATCTGGATCCCAAACCTGGTTGTGTTCTGGTATAGCCATAAAGCCACATACCAGAAGCAATTGCCTAGAATGGCGGAATTTTATTTTATTTTATTTTTTATTATTTTTATTTTATTTTATTATGTTTTTCTGCTTTCTAGACTGATGCTGTAACTATTAGACAAACTGGCTTTGTTTCAATTTTTTTATTTATTTATGAAACATATCGAGCTGCTTCAATCTTTAAAAGACTGTAAATAACGCAGAAAAGACAACAGCAACTAGCCAATGTAATATCAAGTTACCTTGACTATGGTACCATAATCTATAATTATCATATTAGATTAAATCATGATAAATACATTTGGGTTTTGATAACTCCCACCGCCACCACTTAAGCCCCCAGGATTTCCAAAACATCCAGATCTCCACAACTTTCTGGAAAGCCATGCCAAGGGAAGAGGGTCACCTGAAGACCTGAAGGGAGGGAAGCTACAATATTCTAGAAGAGGGGAGCTCCCATAGAGAATGCCAACTATCAGCTCCCACTCCCCTGACAGCTGACACTGCTGCTGCAACCCTTCTGATCACCGCCTTATCTTAGAAACTCAGAAGAAAACCAGCTTATGCTCCACAGAGGATAGAGGGAGAGCAAGAGAACAGCAGGGACCTTGCACTTCCATTTTCATTTGAAGGATAGCCAAAGTCCCATCCCTGTATAGAAATGGAAACCATGTTTTTGTACCTCCACAGGCTTCAGAACTGAGTCATCGCCAAGAATTGCCATATCCAGCTGGGAAACAAGATAGGTTGTTCTCCCTTTCTGGAGGATGTATATTTCAGCAGCCCCAGCTGTTATATTTTATTAAACAGATTATTTAAATAATCACTTTCCATGAATTGGAAATCAAACCGATACATCAGTATCAACCATAAGATGGCAGCAAAGAGATACAGAAAAGTGGTCATCTGATTATTATTTTTTTATTACCCAGATCTGGTACCTTGTACTGATGTAACCTGCTCAAGCTACTCCATCCTGGATAACAAGCCCAAAGTCACCATTACTGATTTGTATTTGAGTCCAACACACCAGAACAGGTCTCCTTAGTGGAATGCAGCCACCAACCCTTTAACTATACAGATGTTGAGATGGGGGGGGGAGGATAGGTCCCACTAACAAGTACTTGAGGCCCAGTGAGCTCTACTCATTTCTCTATAGTCCTTGGTTTCTCAGAAAATAAACTACAACCTTATCCACCAAAAGATTGCCTATAGGGAAATATAAAGATGGCCTTGAAGGAAATATTCAGCAGCCATTACAAAATCATTAGTTGAATGAGGGAGAAACTCAAGATTGGCCCACCCTGACTCTCTTGGAATTAAGAGGGAGAGAAAAAGAACCCTGCCAGGCTTTCAAGATTTTGATATTATAGACCAGAGCTGGGGAATTATAGCCCTTTTATGACTTGTGGACTTCAACTCCCAGAATTCCTGAGCCAGCATGGCTAGCTCAAGAATTCTGGGAGTTGAAGTCCACAAGTCATAAAAGGGCCATCATTCTCCACCCATTATAGACGATATCAGTAGAGGCACCCTGTTTCTTTGACTCCTGGGATTGGTCTCTTTGACCATTTTGGCTTAGGTGCAAGAGAAATTAGACAGCTGGCTTCCATAAAACAGCTGCCTGCAAAATGCTTGGCTGCTGCTTTTAGAAACTCCTGTCAAATCCTTCATACACAAGTTTAGGCTACTCATAATTTGTCCTGTATCAGACTAGTTGGAATTTCTCTCCACTAAGGCAGAAGGGCCAAAAGAGGGCTTGCCAGTAAGGCCAGCACAATTTATATTGAATGTCACTCTTTCTTGCTGGCTCAACACCGTTCAAAGTCTAAAAATTGAGAAGTAAAAAGGTAAAAGTTTCCCTTGCCCTGTTGGGTCCAACTCTAGGGGGATGTTTATCTCTGTTTCTTAGCCGAGGGAGCCAGTGTGGACATTTCTGTGGTCATTTGAGCCGAGGCACATGGAACACTGCTATCTTCTTACCAACATGGTACCTATTTATCTATTCACATTTCATGCTTTGGGAATGCTAGGTGGGCAGGATCTGGGGCAAGTGACAAGAGCTCACCCCATCATACGGTGCCTCTTGCTGACAATCTTCTGGTCAGTAAGACCAGCATCTGTATAATTTGCCTAACTTAGTGAAAATGTTAACATCCAGAAACAGAAATTAATTGGTCAAAGACACTTCTGGAGTTGATCCCAACATCTTGGCCTCCGGAGGAAGATTCCTGAGGAGCATCTGCAGGGGGTCAGGCACACACCAGACAATAGTTGGCACCGTTGGGAGCTCTCCTGCTGTGCCATGGCCAAGTCAAAAACAGCATCTGCAGCACCAGCCCTTCATGCCCCTAGCAGCCGCTCTGCGCCAAAGATCAGTGTAGTTCAGTTCAGCAATCTGTCTGTTGGCTACGTATCAACAAATCACAACAGAGAAAAACATAATGGCAATGTCATCCTCTTTTATGACTGGCTACATAAACCCTCCAGTGCATTTAGCTTGATATTAATCAATGGTTTATGTTTTCCAAGAGGGAGCTTGCACATTAGTTATCCTTAATGCAGTAGTCTCTGTGTGATGGTATTCTTGAAGTATGCCCTTTTTAGTGTATTTTTTTCTAGGCTCTAACTCCCCAATTACTTAAGCCTGTCTTCTTGGAAGAAAAATATGCCTCCTCTAACATCAGTCTGGCTCAAACTGGATAACTAAAATCACATTGAGTATTCTTGCTATGGATGCACTTCACTTATATAATGGCATTAGAGTGCCCGCTTGAGACATCCAATCCCATCGGAATAATTCTAAGCACACACGCAGCATTAAAGCCAATTCAGAATTATCAACATACATTTATGCATTTGGGATTATTGTCTCAAAGGGCATTAATCTGCAGATATCAACACAGATTTTAATCTGTCATGTTGAGGAT